GGTAAAAATAATAAAACAAGGTCTTTGTCTGCAATGATTAGACATGTTTTTTTTATTATTGTCATTAGTGATTATCTCAATTTCGGCTAAAAGACTTGACAAAATCCTACACACTGTGCCTTTAAATAAAACCAAAAAACAAAGTTTATTTTAAATAATATCTTTGCAAAATGATTAAGATGTTATTTTTAAACAGCTTCTTTAAGGTGTTTTATTACAAGATTCTTTCTTCTTTCTGCTGCCTTTCGTTTTATTTGTGATATGTATTTTTTAATCTTTTTTTTGTATATAAATTGCATTATTTTTGTCTAGCCACAACAAAAAATGCTTATTTTTTATTTATTGTATTTCTGTCTGTACCAAATCAAATTATGCAACCTATCCAGTAAAAAACAAAAAAATATTTCTCTTTAAAAAGGTACTGCTCGTCTCAYCTCTGGTTTAAACAATTTCTTTCTTCAAGTATTTGATGCTTGTCTTGTTCGTTGCCCAACAGTAAAGGGGAATTATTAAAAGGATTATAAAAGTGCAAACGTTTAGTTACAAATGAGTCAGTTTTAATGAAAGCCGAGCAACTGATCCAAAGGAACACAAACACACTCACTTTGGCAGACATTCTCGCTGCCGAGCAGAGACCAGTGTGGATGCAAACGGCATAAAAACACGAGTCCTCCGGATTGTTGTCGGGAAGGAGGTGGACCCTTCGGTTCTCCTCAGAGACGACGTCTGCTCTCTGACACCAGACGAGCCCCGGGATGAACAGGATCAGAACCAGCACCAGTAAACTGACCACTGTCGGATCACTGGAGACACTGCGGGATTAACGAGAGAAACTTACTTCTATTCAGATTCTTAAAAACTGGACGAATAAATAAAAAAGGGGCGGGGTTACCTCAGGAACTGATCCAGATCTGCGGCGTCATGGCTGCTCTGAAGCTGCTGCTGGAACACAGTCAGTGGCCTCAGCTGGTAGCAGCTGGATTCACACAGAACACACCAGAAACAAACTGTGAATCAAGTCAAATGTGTTTATAAAGCAGGTCAGAGAGAGAGAGGAGGGTGCAAGGCCGTGATAGCACTGACAGGTGAGCACCTTCACTCTCATACCTGCAGCTGACCGTGGTGTCCAGTCGTCCCGTCCTGCAGCCGAGGTGAGTCCAGTCTCCCTGCTGCCCGTCCCAGGACAAGCACAGACTGCTGTCCACCGCCAGGCTGTAGCGTAGCTCTTCACTCCTGTGCTTCCTCCTGGACGCTTTGTCAAAGTTAGCATCAAGCAGGGCTAAGTGGCCGACGCCTGCCGCTGGAAATTTGTGACATTTTTTAGTGAAGTTGTTGCAGTTTTTCAGTTGTTTGAAGAAATTCTGAATTATCGAAGCATGTAAGACAATTTTTAATGAGCTAAGTTTAATGTGATGCTCCAGCACAAAAAGCCTTCAGCTTGTTGGACTTTTACTTCAAGTTGGAAATAATCAGCTTAAAAGTAAGGAAGAACAAAACCAAACCCAAAACATGAAACCAAGACTCCTTTTTTACCGTTAATGTAGGACGGTGGAAGAGTGAAGTGCACCGTGTTGCTCTCCCACCTGTGGATCCTCTGCAGGTGGTGCATGCTGGGAGTTGGCCTCTCAAACATCCTGACACAACAAGTCGTGGGTTGGGTTTGTGTCAAACGGTTTATAGATGTAACTGATGACAGCTAAATAATACAAACAGACACCTGAAGAGAAGCATGATGGGAAATCCTCTGCCAGGTGGCAGCGTGAACGCCACAGTCACCTGGACGGCGTGATGCWGGAGCTCCCGGCTGACGCTGAAGTTGTGGTAGTTGATCCGGCTGCGCAGGAGGGTGTACTCACTCGCAGAGCTCCGCTGCAGCAGAAACATGACAACAAAAGCTAAAGATTAACTTATTTGTTCAACAAGAGGATGATTTAGATCAGGGGGGGTCAAACTCATTTTTAAAGGTAATTAAATTCGATGTTTCATGTTTAACTTTGACTAAAAAGAAAACGTCACATTCCCCGTCTCATTGCTATGCACCGCTAGCAAACAATTACTGAGCTCTACTTGGTATTTCCTGCATAGAAACAGCRTTTTAACATGTCCTCTTATAAACACTGAAAAGTGCTACGACTGACTAAACGTGAAATAAATAACAAAGAAATACTAACCAACTGTTGAGCAACTTGAATTCTGAACTCTCCCACTTCCCCACAGGGAATTCCCGTTGGAAGGGCGTCTCAGTTTAAATTTACATCTTCTAATTGGGGAATTCCCACTTCCCAGTACAATTGGGCTGCAGCAAAAGTAGCCGGCRAAAACGCAACGACATGAGTATTTTACACTGCTAATGGTGC